AAGTATGTCTGAGAATTGTTGCATATGTTTAACAACACAGGTTAACCAGGTTAATGAACTGTTTAAAGTAATTCCCCATGAAAACAGGGCACAGCATGTTGTTTCAAGAATTCCCACCACTGACAATCAAACTAGCATTGTAAGAAGTTGGTGAATGTTGAAAATTACCAGAGAGCATTAGATAAATTTTCTGGCCACTCCACTCATAACATCTGGCAAATTCATCTGCTAATTTGCAAATGAAAAGAATACCCAGCAAGTATTAAACTGATTCCTCTGGTTGGGCTGCAGTACTGGTTCTGCATGAGTGCATAAAAACAAATTTCATCCTCATATGTGACACCAGCTGCTGTTCTAATGCATGTAGTTGTCTTGATAATGAGAGTTCTGACATTACACTCTTGTTCAGGGGATTTCTTTATTTGCCCTCTTTTATTAAATAATACTTGTAATACACTTAGTTCTCTTTTACTCACAGAGGTGGAAAAATCTGGAGAACAAACCTGTAAGCTTTGTGGCCTCTGTGCTCAGTCTCACTAAACAGCCCCCATCATCCCAAGTAGTTGTCTTCACTTATTTCATTTCACTCATCACTGACAATTCTTCAAAATAAATTTTTAGTATCGAGTCTTGTTTATGTGCTGCTGTTCTGTCTGTTTTATTTTATTTTTGTTGACATTCTGTTTTCTTTAACGATTTATTCAAATTAATTGTTATCTGAAGCTTAGTCCCACTGCTGTTGTGGAGTCTTTGCCTGCAATCTTGTCTCCTTAAAGGATCAAAGTTTTATTTGATTCACTCCTAAAAGCATCTTAGTACAAAGCCAACAAATCTGATTTCTCTGTTACACAAGATCCAGGCTGCTTTGCTGGACCACAAGAGCAGCTGTGAGCTTTGCCTGTGACATAGTGTTGGCTGTGTAAGTGCCCAGTGGCACTGAGTGTGTGCCACATGCCTGCTGCCTGTAAGGGAGCTCTGGTCCAGACCTGGCTTTTGGATCTCCTCTCAGCTTTGAATATCCCAACTTACCTCTTTATATCTGCGGTCACCCCTAGCATGTTCATCAAATATAAACAATGCTTGGTTTCCAACAGGATCCTGTAAAACCAGTAAAGGCTTTTCTTAGCCATTCTTTGTGCAGTATGTGCCACACACCAGGTATTACTGAGATGTAGCACAGATCATTTCGTGGTGCTGATACAACACCTCTTGCAGAGCAGAGCAAGTTTTTCAGAAATAGTCAGACTTTCTTTGGGCTTGTCTTTTTCACTTTTTAGAACAGAAAAACTGCTACTTCTCATCTCTGTTGAGTGGATATACATTTTAATTCTTCTGAATTACCATTCAGTCTAATGTTGTTTCTAAGACCTAGTGCTGCTTCCAATTCTGAATTGAAAAACACTTTTAATTCCTCTGTTTCTTTCTAGTATTCACACAAAAGGTGTAGATGCCAGTCCGAAAGAGACATCTGAAGACTTTTATTTGTCAGTTAAGATTACTGTCAGATATACAGGGTTGGCCAAAAATTGCATATGTGTATAGGTTTACATTCATACGCTTGAGCAGAGAAACTGCAGTTTTAGCAAAAGGGGTGGTTGTATGTCCTTAGGCTTCTGTGCAACAGCATTCCAGATAGTCACTGAGTAACAAAGGGGACAGAAACACATAAGTTCCTGCCTCATATGTAAAAAGCTCTAGCATTTTTTATTCCTGTCGCTCGCCTGAAGAGGCAAAGTGCAAGCTGTATGCTTAAGATATTGATGTGGGTTTTTTTTTCCCTCCACCATAAAAACAATAAACTAAACCAAAAACACCCATCACAAACAAACAAAAACCCCCAAACAATAAATTGTTATAGACCGCATTTTCAGCTTCCCAACTGCAACCTGCACCAAAAATGTCTTTTAGCTGCTTGAAGAAAAAGTGGCAGCTACCAGTTCTGTGCAGTTCTCTGCAGCTGCTCATCTGACCCCCAGGCTGAGTGTTCACTGCAAGCTACTGCTAGAAATGCTAAATTATCAGTGGATGCCCAAAGGCCACTCTCCTGCCCTGCTGTGTTCCGCAGTAACTGTTGGCATCCACACCCAGGGCTTACATTTTTTGCCTTCAGATATGGAAGCCAAAGGAAGGGAAGGCCCTGAGCAGGAATTAACATGCACCCTGAGTTTGTGCTGGACTCAGGGACTGATCATAATGTGGGATAGGCAAGTCAGCAAGTGGGTAGAGCTGTGGCCTTGGTTCAGGAAGATGTGTGTAGGTGGGTAAGATCAGGCATGAACAGCCACAGAAACAGGTCAGTGCCTGAAATGATTCTGAAGGGATTTGATTTATGACAGTTTGACAGTGAAAACTTTCTTTGGTGAGGCCTGTAAAGCTAACTCCTAAAAGCTAACATTCGTAGTTTGTATTTCTCAACAGCTGCTGTAGCTAGATTTCAATTAAAAGTTGCCTAAACATTTTATGATGGGAATAATGAGATGAAGCTGTGTGATAACAAGTTATCTGTCCCATGACTTCCCAGATATGCTTTTTTCACAAGATTTCCTGGTGAAGACAGGAATGACCTGAATGAACTATTCACTGTTCTGGTCACCTTCTCTCCTGGAGTCCTCTGATCCTTATTCACAGACAGAAAGTATGAAGCTTACCACTGTTCAGCAAAGAAAGGTTACCTTGATTAACAAATAACAAGCAGCTGTCCACATACCAGCCTCAGGAGATAAGAGAGATGAAAGAGAGAACTGTGGTTCTTGGTGTAGGGAAGTCTGACTTGCTTAAGCTATGGGAAAAGAATCACTCTTCAGGAAGAAGGAAGAGGTATGTAGCTCACATGAGCAAGATTAGCCTTGGCCTTTTTACAGAAATAGGCAATATTATCTGGGTAATAGGCCTATAGCTGGGATGAAGAGACGAACAGATGGCAGAGCTCTGGAATAGAGTAGTATTGGTTTCCTCAGTTCCTTCATGCAGTGATGAAAAGCCTAGCAACAATAGTGTGGAGTTGGAAGATGGCTGTATGACTATAAGGAGGTAAATTTGTAAAAATGAGAACAAGACCACAAGCAAGGAAAGCAGCAGCTTGTCTAACTCTTAATATCTTTAAGACTGTCTCTTTGGAATATCTGTTTATCCTGAGGTCAAGACTGCATCTAGCCAATTTTCCTTGTGGAGTGTGAAATATGGGATGTCATGTCAGATAACCTAAAAGTCTCTTTGGCCTTAAACTCTGTGTTCCTCTCTCTTTCAGATTGTCGCTTCCCATAAAATACTAAAGTTTGCACAATCTCTTTGTTATTCAGTGGGCAAAAAATTGTATATAAAATTACTAGCCATGATTAACAACAACGAAAGCTAAATCCTTCTCATTTCACCATGAAATGCCAGGGGAGAAATCGTAAAGGATTATTTCTAGATTAGGCAATTCAGATCAAAGTAGAAAAACATTATTAAGCTTTGGTCAGTAAATGTTTATTGATGCGAAACACTACTTAATCCGCTCTCTCTGAGGGGTTGCTTTAAAGCTTTTTGTCTTCTTCAGGTAAATAAAAGCAATTTCTACTGCAAGTAATTATCACCCACTTAGGTGTTCTCGTGCGTCCCTCCCCCCGCCCCCCAGCAGTTCCTCTTGCGTGTTCAGGTAGCTATGCGTCGTTTTACTATCTTCCTTTTAAGGCTGTGCTCTCTCCAAACTTTGTTTTTATCGGGTTTTTACCACTCATTAAGACACTGCACTGGAAGCAACTAAACCAAAACGAATGTGATAATTTGCAAAATATACTTTTTATCTCTGATAGTCTGTATCATACTTAAATGGTACAATTTCTACAGTATTTGTCTGCCTGCTACCATCAAAATGCAATTTACTTGTGATTGTTAAAAATTACGCTTAACCACATCTCGCATCTCCGGTAGGCTACTGCTATCTGTGCATCCATTTCCGTCTCGAAGGAAGTTTCGCTCTAATCGGTTGTTTGTAACCACTATAAATACATGTTCGTTGGAGCCGGAACAACAGAAGTACAGTGATTTTTTTTTTTTTTTTTTTTTTTTTTTTTTTTTTTTTTAGATTTTTCTTTCAGATAAGAATCTGACTTAGTAGGTTGCGGACACGCGTCGCTGTGATTTAAGCACAATACCCTAAAGGTATTACTAAGCACTAATTAACTTACCGACTCTCTTAAGGCGCTACGGTATGAAAACCAGCTGTTAGGGCAAATTTAGATGACAAAGTCTCTGTTTTTCCTTTCTCCTGTAAGAAAAGCCCTCTAATTCCCGCTCTCCGCGTCGGAGCAAAGCCCCAGCGAGGTGATCACCTCCCGATGGGTGACCACCTCTCGGCAGGTGCAGCGCGTCCCCCGCCCCTGCGCAGCCCAACGCGAATTCCCGGCGCCGCTCCGCTCCCGGCAGCGGCTCCCGCTCGGCCGCTCCCCTGCGGGCACCGCAGGAGCGCAGCGCGGTCCCTCCGTGACCGCCCTCAGCCCGGGGATGCTCCTTGCCCGCAGCCGGGGATCCTCGGCAGTGGGGCGGCTCCTCTCCGGGAGGGTCCCCGCGGGCGCCCGGCGCCGACACTCACCGGGAGCAGCGGGACCCGCGGGCTCCCGGCGCCGAGGCTCGGCAGGCAGGGACGGGCGGTGCTGCTGTCGCCCAGCGCGGCGGCCCCGGGCACACGCGGCGCGGCCCCGAGCGCGCAGGCGGCGGCGCGCGGGGAGGGGCGCGGGCCCTACCTGGGGGCGGCGGGCGGGGGCTGCCCGGCCATGGCGGGACCGGCGGCGGGACCCTCCGCTCCGGCGGGGTCCGGGCAGCGACAGCGGGGCCCCGGCGCGCTGCGGCGGCACCTCCCGGCCCTGCCCTCTGCTCACTCCTCCCCCGCCCGCCCCGCCGCCTCCCCCGTCCCTCCCTCGCGGCCGGCGGGCGAGGGGCTGCGCTCCGCGGGGCAGCGCCGCTCCCGACCCGGGCGAGTGAGGCCACCCGGGGCAGCGCCGTCCCCGCACTCTTCGCACCTGTGGGTGCCCGGCCGGGACATGCGGGAGGGATGCAGCGGTCGGGGTCTGTGTCGCTGGAGCGATGTAGCGCCTGCACCGGGATCAGGACGGCCGCAGAAGTTGCTGGCGTTGTGCTCTGTCTGCGGTGTGGGAACAAGGACGTGACGGCGAGGTGCTGGGTGACTCCAGCAAAGAATGGGCGATCGTTGCCGAGTCCTCCTTACGAATGTCATGATGTTCTTGGAGCCCCAGCCCCGTAAACCATGTGATTTAAATGACGGGGGTTTCTGTCGGTTTAGATGTGAGACTCAAGCATTTAGAAAAGGACCCTACTGAGTTAACTACAACTTACGTCTTGTTTTAAGCACCTTTGGACTATTTTATTTGGTTACTTTCAGCAAAGTTCCCTCCCTTTGTTTGTTTGTTTACTGGTTGTTTGGTTTTTTCAAAACAATGCTGGATGTCCTGTGGCTTGGCTCTGTCGTGTTTGCATAACCATGTCAGAGAATACGATTAGAATTGGTCTGTAGTCATGGAAAGGTGAGATTAAAAGCACCTGAATCACAGGTGATGCATGGTGCAAATGTATAGTTTTGAACCCACAGCTAAAGCGAACACAGAGCCTTCGAGGTTCAGCAGGAGTCCTTTGGCTCAGGTGTCAAATTTGCCGGGCTGGAGACAATTGTCATCACCCTGTAGCTGCAAGAGTCTCCTTTTGCTGAGGCTTGTTTTCGATAAGTTTAGGATCTAGATCAAAGCCCCAGATCTGCTCTGTCCAGTTAGGTGATGAGTGTTATACTTTTGTTAGTTATGTAGCAAACGTGCTCAACAGAGGAATTCAGCAGTAAAACCATAGCAAGAACATACACATATCCACAAATACCACTGAAAGCTTGACTCCTGTATGGTGAGCCCTGTTCTATAGTCATTGCTCTGTTCAGAGATTTGGTGAGTGAATTCAAAGACAAAGAGGAAGGGCAGGTTACAAGGGCAATAAGTCCATGCTTGGGCAACCATCTTTTTTTTTTTTTCTCCCTGCAATAAAGATTCACTGTTTCTTTCTTTAAATACATCATTCCTGTGACTTTTCTATACTTTGCTATTGCCTTTATTTGGCACAACATTATGAAATTGTGAAGCTTAGTGAGTTTTGGAAGGGCCTGGGGCATGCAGAGAGAATTATTTTATATATTAAGTCAGGTTTTGTTCTCTGTTCCAATTTAAAGCACAGAAATTTCTTAAACCAACTTTGCAGCCAGAGGCATGGTAGCATTTAACTATTGAACCAATAGTTTTCATTGTTAAGAAAGGCTACCTGAAGCATTTGTTATTGGTGACTTTTGCATAACCAAGAGGAGGAAGTTTCATCTTAATTTTTAAATACCTCATAAGACTTTGTGGTAAGGATATGGATAACATCTTCTGTCACCTTGTGAAGTGACAACTGAGAGATGACAAGGCTAATAGCTACATTGTGGTGGTTAAGGGTAAATGGAAATCAAAGCCAAGGGAAGTATTGGGGTTTAAATGTATACTGGAGAAGCTGAGGAAACTAAGAGACGTAACAGCCTCTGAGGGGAGTGCTTGAGACATTCTGACCTTCTCTGGCAGCTCATCTAACAGCATAGAAACCTGAGGAATCTTTCCAGATTCTGAGCGAGTGAAAAGTCCTGAACTCCAAATCCACACATACCTGCGGCTTTACCTGCTTAAATGCAAGCCCAGGTTAGTGCTGGAACTGGTTGTCTGCATGAAACATCTACTTAGTACTTAAATGTCAGCCCCTTTGACATGACTTCCTTGTTACTGTGCTGTACTTTTCTTGTGCCTTTCCAATGCTCTTGCATCCTTTCATTCCTGGAAACAGGAGGCTGTAATGCCCTTTCCTCTTCCTTAGTTCTCCCTTTGCATATTCTGTGTTTTGGGGTCACTCAAACTCCCACAACTCAAACTATTGTGTTCCTTATCCCTGTAGACTGTTTCTCATCAGCTCTTCTCTAATAGACACCACTGCTCTACACAAATAGTGCTTAATATTTTCTATCATCTTCCACTTGATCAGTTACTTTAATTTCATTTAAGTTGTTTTCACATGACTTTGCATCAGATCTCCAGTTCTGTATTTGAAATGTCCTTTTCTCTCTCTCATGATAGTATTTTCTTTCAGATAAATTCAGTCTTGTTGCCACTGAGCTTCTAATATCTCACATGTTCTTCCTTGTTTAGTAGCATGTCTGCTCCTCCTTTGCTGTCATTATCTGATCCTTTTCCTGTCACTGTTCTTTTGCCCCAGAGATTTCATCTTATCCCAGACTGAGTCCACGTATGACACTGCTGGACAGGGTCCAATGGAGGGCTATGAAGGTGATTAGGGAACTGAAGTGTCTCTCATGAGGAAAGGCTGAGAGAGCTGCACCTGCTTAGCCTGGAGAAGAGACAACTGAGAGGGAATCTTATCAATGCATACAAATATCTTCAGAGCAGGTGTCAAGATAATGGGGCCAGACTTTCTTTTCAGTGATGCCCAGTGACAGGGTAAGGGGCAGCAGACAAAAACAGAACACAGGAAGTTCCATCTGAGTATGAGGAAAAACTTATTTACTTTCAGAGTGACAGAGCACTAGAACAGGCTGCCCAGAATGTGGAGTCCTCTTCTATGGAGATATTAAAAACGTGGACAGGACCCTTTGCAGGCTGCTCTTGGTGAACCTGCTTTAGCAGAGGGGTTGGACTAGATGACCTCCAGAGGTCCCCTCCAACCCTAACATTTCTGTGATTTTAACTTGGTGCCTCCTAGGTTGCATTTAGGTTACTAATTAAAGCTGGTCAAGGCTTGTTCGCTGGCCCCATGGGCACAGGGTAGGGCATGGCTTAGGTCTAAATTCCCTTAGTTTTTGAAACACTGTTACTTCGTCTGGACTGTTTGGGGGTTTTTTGTTTGGGTAGTTGGTTTCTTTGGTTTGTTTGTTTTGTTTGCTTGCTTTGTTTTGTTTTCTTTCTCTTGAGCAGAAAACTCGAAGTTAAAGAGTACAACTAGTCTTGAGGCTGTGCCTGACTGACATATATAGAGCACACAGACCCTGCCAGTCACATAACATGGCTCACTATTTCAGTCATAATATGCTTCAATGTCTTATCTAACCTCTTTAATGCCTTCCCTTGGACACATCCTGAGCATTACAGCTTCTCTCCATTCTGTGTATTCCTTGTTTAGTTTCATGGTCTTATGTACTGTAGTTACTGAAACCTTGTAAGGGCTAAGGAAGTTAATGTTAACTTATCCCTGGGATATTATATGTTATTTATCTTCTTCATAGATTTTGGAGAAGAAGCTCAGACATAACATGATGCATGTGATTAATCTCTGCATATTTTATATTTTTTTCCTTCTTTTTCTTTTACTTTCTTTACTTTTTTCTTTCTTTCTTATTTTTTTTCCCCTCATTTTACTCTTGCTCTCTCAACTCTTCTGCTCTAAGTCCCTTAACTTTATAGATAGGGTTTTCACATTCCTATTTCTGGGTTTCAGAACAGCTTCTTCAGTACTGTTGAAATGCTTTGCTTCTGTTGTGAAGGAAAAGGACAGAGAGACCTTCAGTAGGGACTCAGAAAGGAAATGACCATTTTCTGTCAGTAACTTTGGCACTTCAGAAGTTCATGACAGGTTTTCTACTCTCTAATTTCAGATTGTCTGCTCTTGTGAGTTGTCAAGGGTAAAAGCTCTGTGACAGAAGAAGAGAGGAGAGGTTTTTCCCTCATTAGAGGTGGGGATATTTGTAGCTCAGTCTCACCTTTGTGTTTGGTTTCTGTTCCCTGACGTGATATGACTCTGAACCATCATTCTTCCACCCTAGACACTGCCACTCATCTGTCCCTTACTGCAGCACATAGAACTGAGGCTACACACATACTGGTTCTTTGGTTTTTATCACATCCTTGTAGCTGATATGAAGTTCTCTGATTCTCACCATGTAATTTAATTTCCTCTCTTTTTTTTTTTTTGCATTAGTAACTCTTTATTGTCTGTTTCCATCATCCTGCAAAAACTCCACAAACATGTCTTGTACTAACATGTTCTCTTCTGTCACTTCTTCTCACTGTTTCAGAGCCCTTCTCTGAGCCAGCCATTATGACTTGACTTCTTCACAATCTACCAGAAGTGTCCTTTTCTCAGGTAGACAGCTCTCCTCTTCCCTGAAAGCCCATAGTCTTTATTTCTGAGGGATATGGCCAAGTAATACTTTGTGCCTTTTTCTTATTCCTTGACAATGTTGGCATATAGCCTAAAATAACTATTCTTTTTTTCCTGGAATCTGACTTGACAGAAGAGAACTGATTACTGTCACACACTGACTTGTTTCAAAGCTGTCACCAGAAGTATATTTTTCCCTCAGCTTTTAGATATGAATTGGCAACAGGAAGAGAATACTGTGGCATTTTAGTTAGCTGTCTGTCTTTTATGTGTCAGCCTAGGACACTCTTCTCCTACTGGATGACAGAAAGTTATGGTCAGAGAATACAATATTAATTATTCCAGTGGTCAATATTTTGCTCATTTTGACTTTTATAAAAACCCAAAGGAATACTTAAAAACAATTAGTCAACCCTTCTGTTGGGAGCTTAAGTAGAATAAACTGCTGCAGAGTTGTTAGTTTGAACTGAGAGAAACTGAAACAATAGCACCAAACAGAGATGACTGCCTCCTAAGAAAATATGTCAGTCATTCCTGAAAATCAGAGGGAGCCAAACTTACAATAAGACTTTGATTTGGCTCCAGCCATTCTTGGAGATATTCAAAACCCCATCTGGATATGGTCCTGCACAACCTGCTCTAGCTGATACTGCTGAGCAGTGAGGTTGGACTAAGTGCTCTCAAGAGATCCCTTACAATCCAAGAGATTCTGTGCTTTGTATGCTTCTGTGGCTTTGAAGTTTTGTTCATTTGCAGTAAAAAACTATCCTCAAAAACTTATGCTTACGTGTGGCTTGGTTGGTCTTGGGAAATCTACAACTCTACACAGACTCTGTAACTGGATGATATTTTCAGGAATAGATCACTGTGGTAGGGGACAGAGCTTTTCACTTCCCTTTGCTTTTCACACAACCCTCCTAATTAGAAATACAGAGGTGGAAAGGTGAAAAGCTTATCATGTAGTGCATGTTTGCAAATGCAGGATCAAAAACCTCTCAATATTTTGGTATTTTTTGGAGAGAGGCATAGTATTTCCAGAACAAATGTGATATTGTC